TTCAGAAAGTTTGCTGCTTCAAGTTCAACAATAATTACAGTTGAGACAGAGATGTAGTCAAATGAAGCGAGACCAAGTTGTCTGACTACAAATAGCAGAATTATATATGAGAGACAAAAATATAGGCACTTAATCCCACGAAACCTGGAAGCGCCCTTTTGGACTCCTTTAGTATGGAAATTTACAAAGCTAACAAATACTCCGGTGAAAATTTAAATAATTTGTTTTGTAACTTCAAACTCAATTTCAGAAATAATCATCAAGCCGTATTCAGATATTTGGTAAGTGAGGTGTATTTTATCTCGTACACCTTCGATGAAAGGTAATGCCTCTGAACAAAATTTGTTGCTTCTTTTTAAACCATTTATTTTCAGTCCTTCTGGTTCGGAAACAAGACCAGTGCAGATAGATAACTAGAAAAACCAGTGCCGCGCTCTGAGATTAATGTGCACGATGACTGAATGTAAACTTTCTTGTCTGTGCATGTGCAATCGTTTCTCCTTTTCTATTTGATGACATACATGCAAACAAATCCTCGCAGCATCATTGTAAATGACCCTGATATCTTATTCATCAGGTTTATTCGTCCTCCTCCTGCCGTATTTCTTCACACGTTCACAATCATTACTGCTGGGATCGGAGGTGGGGGGTGGAGGGGGGGGGGGCATTTAAGTTGTTGTCTTTGTTTGTTGAATGTTTATAGCTTCCGTTAGCACAGTCTCAACGACCACTGAGGAACCAGTAGATACAAAATCCAAATCCTCCCATAAAAGAGGAGATGCCCTCTGGGCAGCCATAGCTCATAGTTGGCCTGATTTAGTGGCAGCCAGGAATCCAGGCTTGAATAAAGACAGAGAGAGCGAGGGCAGAGTGGGAGAGATAGAGGAAAAGATAGCTCCCTGCGTGATAAATAGCCCCGGCTCCCTCTATTGCATTAGCCGTCCAGGCCGATAGATTGCGAGCCCAATAGACCCAGACGTATGCGATTGGTTTCTCATATAAAAGTTGCATATTAAATTCCTCCACAGGACTGTGCCCCCCAAGCATGAAGGAGGGATGGGAGAGATGGGAGTTAAAAAAGCAGAAAGTGGAGAAAGAAATGGAAGAGCAAGAAAAAGGCTTTTTATGAGAGATGAAGCGAAGGCAGACTTGGGGAAGCCTGAGAAGAAGGGGGAAAGCTAATGGCAGCAGGAAAGTAGTTTGATGGTGGAAAAGACAAATGGTGATGTCATGTATTTAATAAGTCCGTGGATATTGGGCGATGAGTGCGACCGTACGTCCATTTAATCAGTATTGCCTCCGAATGAAGATTTCTCTCCTGTTTTGTACACGCCCTCTCTTCCCTCCGTTCTCAGCCTTCCTCCACATGCTAACGACCCCTCTAATTGTTTCCAAGCTCATTAAGATGCTGCTGTTTTAATAGTAATTAATCCGTCATTTGCCAACATGCAAACACAGGCCACTGAGGTTTGTTCATTGCTGTTTCAATACACTGATAATGCAGTGGATGATTCAAAGCAGATAATATCCTGCTAATTTAGCTCATCACTGTTAATTGGTTGTTAAGTGCCTTTAATTACCAGGCAGGCTTTGGGATTTGGGTGTGCAGAAAGAGAGCGTTCGCCGTGATTGTCCCTGCCCGTCTAATGAATCTTGAGTGAACTTTGGAAAGTGAAACAAATGACCGAAGAGGAGACACACTCTGACCCTGTTTTCTCTTTCATATAGGCTGATTTCTCTCCTCTTTCCTTCTCCTTTGTCCTCCTGTCCCTTCCTCCATCTCCTTCTCTCTCTCTCTCCATCTCTTCCTCCAGATATTATTAACTCATTAAGTTTTTTTCATTATTTTTAATAAAAGATGAGTTATGGCTTTAGCCTCACTGTGGCAGCACACCACACCCCTCCTCTCTCCCTTTCCTCTTCAACCATTTACTCCCTTCCCTCTCTGCTCCTCCTCATCCTTCCCCCCCCACACCACCTCCAAGTCCCTCCACGTTTGTGCCTCGTCTCTCGGCCATGTTGCACGCTGTCTCTCTGATGCGTTTGACCCCTGAACTGCGGCTTCTGACCTCGACGCCGCCTCTTCCAACCTTTCGTCCATCTCCTTCACTTTCGCCACAGCTACACCCGTCTATCAATCATCTCTCTTTCTCATAGTGCTGAGCAGTCTTTAGATGGCATTCATAAGATTTATGATTCATGATCCGCTCTGTTTGTGTGTGTGTGTGTGTGCGTGTGTGTGTGTGAGAGAGAGAGAGAGCGTGTGTGTTTGAAGAGAGAGACAGTGGAAAGAAAAGGGGATAAAGCGAAAGACAGACTATAGAGATAGAAAAAAAGTGTCTTGTCGATGACACAGAATAATGACAATATCCATGATTGATAGCCTATCTGGAGCAAGTCGGGTGTGTGGGTGCTTTTTGTGCCTTTGTATGCATGCGTACGCTGCTGTGTTTGCTCTACATTCATTGGATGTTAAAGAAGCGGTGATGAATGGTTTTCATGGGGTTTGAGATGCCAGTGGTCACAGGAAAAGGGTGTCAAGTGACCAGGACTGTCAAGGGACAGGGTATTATTTTTCTTGCAAAAGAAGGAGAAGAAGAAACCTGAATCAATTTGTGGCAAATAAGAGCAGTTAACCAGCGTCCACTTGTCTTGTCCTCCATACTACCGGCAAAATTGGATTAAAAAATCTTTTTAAAGGCTCTTATTACATTTGGGTTTGGGTGTTTTGCTGCTAATAAATACTCACACTCCTCGCATCGATGGAAAGAATTGTGTACAGTAATCGTTCTTCCTTACTCCTCCGAGCATTATTTTGGTGTGAGCATTTAAGGAGAAAATCTACAGTTACTGTGCAAGCATAAGCTGCAAAAGAGGTTCCTGCAGGCTCTGCACCAGAACCAAGTAAAACAGTTTTATTTTTCTTATATAATTTTCAGTTTTAGACTAGAACAAACGAATGTATGTGACATCAATACATATATATTTGTACCCAAATAAAGCCAGGTATGATATGAGACCAAGACTCTTTAAAACATGAAAACATCCTGTGTTTCTAACATATTTGAACATTTAATATTAGAAGAAAACAACAAAAACGTAAATAAAACACCTTTTTGCAAATTTCTGTAACAGACTATAAAAATTACAAAATTTTTATAGTATTTTGTAATTGTGATGAATAACTCAGGACATCCTCACATTTATTCTCTATTATAAGCTGAAGTTACACTCAAACAGATACTGATGTGCATGGTCAGAACATTGCCAATCAGCATTTTTGAAGGGGATTTGATATTTAAATAGTTTTAATATTTAGACTTTTAGTTTGAGATTGAACACGACAGTGATATCTAAGGAGATTATCCAAGGCCTTCAGAAAGATGATGGCAGCAGTGAAAGAGTCGACAGTGAGTGTAGGACATTTTAAATAACCCAGCCTAGTGATTCAACCGGGTTCATTGTCAAAGGCAGACTGCAGGATGCAGCAAGAAGCCCTGAAAACCTTACATTTCATCGTAGCACATAACGGCAGACTCTTGCAATGACCAATATGAAAGCGCAATCAGAAGGAACCGGCTCAGGTTTAATTTTCCTTGGAGGTGTGCAAGAAGGAAATATTTGCTCTTGATGGAAAAACATGACGTTTTGCCAGGTAGAATGTAAATCAAGTACAGGACTTCTGGAATGATGTTCTTTACCACATACAAGTCTAAAACAGAATACTTTGCCCACTGGAACAGTTGGTATTTGGCAGATTTAAACTGAATGGATTATAATATATCCTAAAATATTATTGAAAAACAACTTTTATCAACTTTGAAGAAGAACTTTTTACTATTTAAAAAAATAGTTAATTTAACTTAGGTTGTTTTTATTGCAATAAGAAGTTTTAAAGATAAAACACCGTAGTTACACTACATGCTTAAAGAAATCAGTTTTTCAACCTCTCTTCAATCTCTACAGAGATTGATCAAAGTTGATCAAAAGTTGATCAATCTCTGTTGTTATTTCAACTCCTCATTATAAAGTTAATCTACATTTATCAGTGTATGTGATTTCAAAAAGCAACACATTATGTGTGTGTTTGCAAGAAGGAAGTCTGTTGCCATGTTTCTGGATTTAGCAAAGATAATATTATAAACATTATAATGTTTATAATATTATATATAATATTATTTAATATTATATATAATATAATATTATATATTATACCTGGGCATAACCCAAATTACCTGGGTTATGCCCAGGTAATTTGGAAAGACTCCTGCTTTGGCAGTAATGGAATATGTTCCAAGTGTTGACTTGCATGAAGTTGCACTGTCACTTTAATTGAACTAATGTTAAATTAGTGACCTTTGTCTCACAGGATGCAAGTAAAGTCTGTCACGTCAGCCATCAACAGACCACATCAGGATTAGTAGTGGATGTTTCAAAATGGGCTCCAATCAAATCTACACCCATTCTTTAATTGCAAAGAAAATACAGGGCATTAAAAAGTCGCACCATCAGGCTCTTGAAGAGTTTTTACAGGTTTTTCACAAGGGCAATCACTGAACTGAATGATGCTAGGATGTCACACAAAAAGTGACGTTTATCCAGTTTATGTTTATCTGTTTACAAGTCTGCTGGAACTCCAACTCTGAGAGTGATCCTGTTTTATTTTATGTTTCATTTATTTTTATGTTTACGGAATATGTTTTAGTATGGCAATCTGGAAGTGACATTCATTTCGTGTTTGCAGTTATCTTTATGTTCACACAATATCTTGGCACCTCACAATATTGGCTGTGTGTGTGACAGAGTTGTGTGTGTGTGTGTGCATGTGACATTTATTTTAGGTTATTTTACCTCTCCTTTTGAGAGCTGTTTTTACACTAGTGCAATTAAAAAAAATATATATAAACAATAATTAAAGGAATCTTGTGTCCTGAATCTAGAAGGAAAAAAAAAATCTGCATTATTAAAAAAGGTTTTTCATCTTAAATGCCAAATTTGAGTGTTTTTTTAAAAGATTAGTTTCTTGAAATGTGCTTACATAGAACTAATAATTTAAAATACATGATCTTTTACAGTATATGTTATTGTATGCCTCCAAAGAGTTCCTCAAAGGAAATAACTAACTGCTTGTGTGACATTTTCGAGTAACATTTTCAGATAATATGCTGTCACTCAAGTTCTAAACAAATACATTATGCTCAACAACCTTCATTTCCACCAAACAGAGTATTTCAGGAATTTCCTCTTCTTCGTTGCTCCTTATATATATTTTCATTACTTGTTATTTTATAGGAACAAGGCGTGTATTGATTTCATTCACCGGTAGTGTTTATATTTCAATTCAATAGATACATTTGTCAACTTTGCACAACACTAGGAACAAGAATGTGTGAGTGTTGGTTATAATTTCACAAAATGAACACATTACACACATTGTATGCTACACATTTAAATCAGGGGCCGATTTACTGAAAGTCTCTTCACCCTTTTTTGTCTCTTATTGGCTGGTTTTCATAGAACATGCAATTCTTGATAAATTTCTCTTTCCAAAAAGCTCTTTCCAAGTTCGAGATGCGGTGCGTCATGTTTCCACTGGAGTGCACTCTGGAGTCAGGATGAAAAATGTCCACAAGTTAATGAATGTGGCGATCCATGAGCTAATTGGCTGGTGCCATTTATTCCTGCAGAGCTTCAATACTTTCTGTTTGCCTTCCCACTGTGAGACCACATTGATTCTTACTGATGAGGTCTGGAGTATTGAGATCTTGGGTTTTCTTGTCTTTTCTCAAAATTAGTGGTGTTGAATCCTAAAGGAAAAACAAAAAAGACAATAAAAAAGTTTCTCTATTCATAGTACTGTGTCACAAAAAAGAAGCTATCTTTTAAACAACCTAATTTCTCTGTGAACCATGTATTTCCAGTGAGTCATGGCACTGCTCAAAACATTCAGGATGTATTTGATTTATATATAAATCTAGGTTCAAATATAACAGTTGAAAGAAGCATATTGTGTGATAAACTGTGCTAATGCTGAAATGGTCCTCTATGTAGTTTAGTGGAGGAGTCAGTGTCCATAATAAACCATTTGAATTAGTATTAAAGCTACATGGGCTGTTACAAAGTATATATAATTTATTTTTTACGTAAAGCCTCAACATCAAATGCGACTCTAAAGTCCCATTTGACTTGAACACAGCCATTGCTTCAGAGCAAAAAATAAGTCAAAGCTACTGTCTTCACATAGCTATATCTGATGCCTTGAAACTTTCGAGAACCTCCTGCCCTTTTTCCTGCTGGTGCAGTTTACAAAAAGGGGCGCTGGCAATTCTTTGCAGAAAACAAGGTGAGCCCTTGCAGTACTTTGCAAAATTATATTCCCTGAACATTTTATGTGATAGAACAACTCAAAGTAATGCACACTTCCAAATGTGAAAGGCACAACTTTCAGTTACTCTGCTTTACATTTTTTATTCAGACTAGAAGAGTCAACACTTTGTAAAATCTCTTTTCACTGTGAGGAACTGGACTTGTAAAACCACCTTCTGAATTATTGATATGCTGTGGTGCTTTGAACTGGTGAGAAAAAGAAGTAAATCAAAAACCAGAGTTCTCAATTTAAAGGCCTATCTTCATTCATTCATTCATTCCTACCCTCACCTAGGGTCCTGAGATGTGGATCGGGATCCACATCTCAGGACCATGATGATCAAAAGTACCATGATGTTCAAGTACTTGAACACTGAAATTAACTCCTCACTATTAGGTGAGGAACTGGCAGGACGAGAACTGGTTCTGTTAAACGTTTGGACATCTGTTCAGGATGACTCTCTTTAAAAACATGGCCCATTAAGACGAGACTCTTGGGCTAATCCAAAATGTACTGGAGAGACAATATATCCATTCTACGTTGGGAATGACTTGGGGTCACACAGAATAAGATGGAGAATGTCACTAAGAGAAGGGATGTCTGGATTTTACTGGGCCTTTAAAACCAGTCATCCCATATCAGATAAGTGGAAGAGAATGGAGGGAATGTGTAAACTATTTTATTTCCTCTTTACAATTGCCAACTGTGTGTGTTAATCTGTCACATACAATTCCAGTTAAAAGCTTTTGTTGTAGTGTGACAAAACAGAATGATGATCAATAGTTATAGAAACAAATTATGGCTTTACTTTTTTGCTTTCTCCAAACTTTTCACAACATCTTTGCAGGGGACATAAAAACAAGCAGTGAAACTGGATAACAAGTGCTGAAAGCAAATTTTCTTGGCCTAATAAGCATATTGCCATATGGCCCACTGCACTGTGGATGACACAGCAAGGATCTGTGTCACAGTTCATTTGTTCTGGGCAAGATATGGCCTGTGGGGGCTATAGTGCTGTCAGTATGTGCCGTATATCTACTTACATGTGGCATTATGGTTGGTTCTGCTGTGGCACTGAATATGTGGGGGGTTGTAGCATCTCCGTCCATCTTCGTCTGTCTGTCTTGCTTTTTCCTCAGGCTGGCTGATACTGGATCAGAGGTGTACAATAGGCTCAGCACAGCACTGGCTCACTGAATATAAAGGGATGACACATTCACATAGAAAGCTAAATTAACTTTGTGTTTTACAGAATGGTAGAATATCTCATAAAATAGAGCCAATCTTATTGTTTCAGTATGACTCTCCAAATGAGGGCCTCTTTAATGCATGACAGATGCATCATCATAAGATGTCAATCATAAACTAAGAGCTGAAGTTTAATGTAAATACACAAAGTTCCAAAAGCCAAAAAACAAGTTACCCCTGATTGCCACTGACATCTGTGGTAGCGGTGCCATTTGTAGACTGAGTGGTTGGAGCAGCTCCTCTGCTGCTCACGTCCTGAAGCATGACATTTTGAGATGTTATTGCTTCTGTACAGGAGGCAGAGGTGTGGCCACACAGCAGTGTCACCTCGGTGAGCTGCTTTCGGGCTAAGAATTGAAAGAGGAAAGGCAAAATAATTGTAGGAGAAAAACATGCTAAAACAAACACCGGATAATTTGACCGAAGATTATGCTATTAGCCACTTCGAAGCAGCTGCATCACCTGCTGTAAAAGTGGGAGAAGATTGCTGACTTCTCCAGCCATTGTATGTAGGGAAACGGCATCTCAGTAGATGAGCATAAGCTGACCTGAAGTCTCTGTTTAGGGCTCCGTAGATGACAGGGTTGAGGGCTGAGTTGGCATATCCCAACCACAATACAATAGGGAATTCTGGTACTATGCCAGGGTCTGGATGCTCCTTGAGACCTAGCACTGTGAATAATATGAAATAAGGCAACCAACAGACAACAAAAGCTCCAATCACAGCTGCCAATGTCAGTGTGGCTTTGTGGTCTCTTAGTGCCACAGCTGTCACACCAGAAACCAGGGTAGTACTTGTGGAGGGGCTGTTCCTGCAGTTATAGCTGGTGATGCAAATGGGTCGGGCACTGATAATTCGCTTGGCCTGTGCCCGAGCAATGCGAAGAATTTGAAGATAGGTCCAGCACATAGCCAACAGAGGCAGATAGAAGGTGAGAAGAGAGTCTGTAAGTACATAAGGCCTGTTCAGCTCGAAACGACATCTCCTCTCAGAAGCCCAGGGCCCGTGATTCTGCACCGTGCCATTAACAGTGTTCCATCCCATTTGAATTGGCAAGAACGACACAGCCACTGACACTGTCCAGACACTCACCAAGGCTACAGCAACTCTCCATGGCAACACCAGAGAGGTGTATCTCAGAGGCATGGTCACTGCCAGGTACCGGTCCACACTAATGGCGAGCAGCGTTAGGATAGAAGCCGTGCACAGCATGACATCCATGGAGATGTAGAAGTTGCAGAAAACTGGGCCGAACGGCCACTCATCACTGAGCTGGAGGAGGGCGGAGAACGGGAGGACCAAGAGGCCGAGCAGGAGGTCTGTCACAGCCAGTGACACAATGAAGCAGTTAGTGAGGCAGCGGAGGCGTCGTGAGGCGCAGACAGCTAGACACACCAGCACATTACCACCCACAGTCAGGAGGATGAGGAGGGACAGGATGACACCCAGCATCACTTTTGACAACATTATTACTGGTGCGTCACTGGAGACAACGTAAAGTCTCTGCTGTTGAAGCTGATTGTGAACCACAGTTTTATGCTGTGTCTTTTACTTCAATGGAAAATTCTCACTTTTTAGGAAGTACAGGGACACATGCTAGAAGCTTCAACTTGACAATGTCATTTTAAAATCTTTTGTTGATGCTTAGATCGTTTTAAAAAATCTGTCAAGCATGCTGTCCTTTCAGCTTTGGCTGTCCACATACACATTTATTTTCATGAAAAAAAAAAAAAAAAAAAAAACACCTAAAGGTTCTGATTCTAATGTGTGATATCCTCTTTTTGTCCAAACATTTTCATCTCAGAGTAAAGCCGGGTAGTCAGCTTTCCCTTCTGGACAAATACTGTGACTTAGAGGTGAAACCTTTTTCCATCTGTTTGCTAGTTGTCAGCGTTCCCTTCAATGCCATTTTCTGTAGCTGTAGTGACACCTAGTGGACAAAGATGATAAGTACAGTTAGCAAGAGAGGTTTTTTGAATCGTGTTCCATTATCAAATGCAAATTACATGGTAATTTTTTTCCCACTGAGCTGTATAATTTTCTGGATTTACAAAAGCCTATCAAATATGAATTTATAATAATCTGTGAAGAATGTTATACATCTGCACTAGAATGACATTGAAAATATAAAAACTCAACAAAAGTAATGCATTTATAGAAGGTAACATAATGTTTGACATTCAAAAGAAAAATCAGCTTTACACCAATCAGTGAGCCAAGTGGTCTGCAGGAGGTAGATACTCCATTACCTCTAATGAGAAAGCTTGGCAGATCAAATATGAAGGGCTTACTAGAGGATAAAAGAAAAAAAAAAGAAAAACAAATCAGACACTACAATCAACATGAAGAAAGAACATTCTCAATATCCAGAGAAGGCATAGATTGTCACATACTAGAAGTATTGATAAAATTCTATTAAGAATAATCAGAATGGCTCTTAAATAAGAAAAAAAAAATACAGGATTGTCAGAAAAAACATGTGGAGGCAGCATAATAATCATTGAGCGCTATGCATCCGAGCATTCAGTGACGCTGGGTCGGCAAAGTGGTTATTGAGAATTTGATTAAATATGAGAATTTAGATGAAGTGGGGAGTGTATATGGACATGCTGCTGAGAAGAAACAAAATTGAACCTTAGATTATATCTACCTTGCTCATGACAAGACAAAAGACACACACTTTTATTTAAGGATGTGGTTTCTCAATAATCTGGTACCACAACCTAAAAAAGATTGGGACTGTTGAATTGTCTGCCTTTACACAAACATATGATCATAGTCATCACTAAATGTTTGGATTGTTTTACTTATGTTTTTTTTTTATACCATTTGGTACAGAAAATATGTTAAGACATCCACTCAGATATGCTTCTCCTTTTTTCCACTGCAAACAATTCAGCAAAATATGATTGTCACTGCAAGATGCCAGAATCTGCTACAAGATGTACATGCATTTGTTATCATAGATTCTAGGTGTCTTAATCTCAGCTTTACCAAACTCTCAAAATGCATTCAGGCTCACACAATTTAGTACATTCATCCAACTCATAACTGTGCTTACAGAGAAGCCCCTTATAGGCAATTAGCTACTGTGTGTGTATATATATATATATACAGTATATATATATATATATATATATATATATATATATATATATATATATATATATATATATACTATGCTAGTTTTGTACTTTGCAGATCTATTTTGATAATCTTTGTGGACTTCATGTTGTTTTTTTTTAATCCTACTTTAAAAATAATTTAATTTGTCCTGAACATTCATCACTGATTTCAAGAATTTTCTCTGGACAAACCTGCTTAGCTTATTATCTTAACATGTTTTATTATAAGGCTCTAAAAACCTCTATTTCTGGGATAGCAGTATTTTATTTGTTTTGCATTTTTTGTTCACAGTTGTCATGTGTCATTATCGAACCTGAACTACGCAGGTTGGAATAAGGGAGGAAAACAGTCTTTTGCTATGAATGGTGAGGTCAAATTACTGTAGATTCATAAAAATAATAGTATCCGACTTCCCACATGCACAGTTTGATTGCTTCATTTTAGTCTTGCGGTTCTTTCATTATGGTGACAACTAATGACCAAATCATCAGCAGGCTGGCAGCTTAGAAAGCATTGGCTTTGGGTGGTTTAAACAGCTACTTTTCTAACTTCTTGCTTCAGCTGTACCGCAATACGAATGCCAGCTTGTGTGTTTTGAAGAGTACCAAAAGAATAATATCCATCAATACAGTTAGTGAGATGTGGTCTTTGCTAACTTCCAGGTGTTTTATGTTCTCTGCATGTCTGCTCCTGATGCTATGTGCTCCTGTTGGCATCAATCAAAAAAAAAACAAAAAAAAAAAAAACCTCCCTGCAGTGACATTAATCACCCGCTCTTTCCCTTCAATATTTCCTCGTCTCTTATGGTCATTAGGAGTTGATTGATGGGGTTAGATGTTTTTTCTTTTTTTGTTTCCATTAATGTTAGCTAAAAGTGTTACCCTTGTGTTCAAGGGTAATATGCCTAAGACTGAAAAGTAACCATTCACCTTTCCTCTTTATTCTGTAAATATAAATACAATTTTACATGGTGGTATGAGTACACTCTTATAAATTCCACTTAAAACATGTAGTTTTTCTACCTTTCAGGGACTCAGAAGATCAGTGATGACTGATTGAGTTTTTACTATATGCAACATGTATTTTGATATGGAGCTATTACTACAAATAAACATAACCTACAGTCATTTGCCACTTCTTAAGTGTTCTTGGTAGTATCAGATTAGTCCTCTTTTTGTCCTTTAGAAATGTCCTAATTTGTTTTAGCATAGAAAGATCAAGATAATGGAAAGTGTACTTAGAGATTTTGGTCCTTTTTGGCATGATAGCATCACATGGTTACCTCAAATATGTTAACTCAACATCTATGATATGAATATCCTATTTCATCTTGTCCCTAAGCTTTTGTATTGTTTTGAGGTTTGGCGACTGTAGAGGTCGCTGGAGGTGAGTAAGCTTGTTGTGATGTTCAAAAACCTTTTTATCTGTTAATATCCATTTTTTGTAAGCCTGTTTGAACTGCAGCCTTAATTTAAATTCAAATCAATTCAATTCAGTTTATTTACATAGCACCAATTCACAATGGATGCCATCTCAAGACACTTCACAGAAAAAAAAGCATTCCAATTGATCCTAGTTATCAAACAGTGCAGTGAAGTTCAGTTCATTATTCAAACGAGTTTGAAAGGTTTTCTAGCAAAGAAAACTTAGCAGATTGTATCGAGTTATTGAGTTACAGCAATCCCTCACGCTCAGCGTGCATGGAGAGGAAAAACTCCCTATAAACAGGAAGAAACCACCAGCAGGCCCCATATGCCTCCTGTTGTCAGATTTAATATTCACGGTATGGTACATTCAGCGAGTTGTTGTCTGAGCTTTTGTTGTGTCTTTGTATAATTTTAAATCAGTTTTCCCATTTCTCGGCGGCCGTAATGTCGAGAAGACATTTTCTGTAACCAGCCTATTGCCTTTGGATATTTTCTTTTACTCTGAGCATTTCTTTTTTGTAAATCTAAGAGATCATTGAGGAAAACCCAGTACACCAGCAGACTGAAACACTCAGGTCAGCCCATCTGGCACCAACAATCATGGCATTTTCAGAGTCATTTCAATTCACTTGTGCCCCATTCTGATGATTGGTTTGAATTTCAGCAAGTTTTATTCACGACGTCTAATTGTATGAATGCATAAAGTTGCTGCCATGTGATTGGTTGTTTTGCAGTTTGTGTTCACAAGCAATCGTTTAAGTCTAGCTAATAAAGTAGATGATGCTGGTGGCCTTTTGTCACTGTTACCCCTTCACTGTTGTGAGTCTGTAACAGGAGCACAGAGAAGACAAGAATTGAGGCTGAATATAGTTTAGCATTTTTGCCTTCGTTAAATTTCTAGTGCTAGATGAGCAAGAATATTTAGCCTGTGCATGGCAGAATAAGGCTAAGCATTTGACAGAATGAGTGTATCTGTGTGGAGAATATCTCTGAGTCAGTGACTGGTGGGTAGAATTTCTCTTGTTTGAATGTGTATGTAGGTTTGGTACAGACGAAAGAGATGGACACTGGCTTCATGTCAGGACAAGATGGGAGAGGTTTAGGCATGATTAAAGTATCATCTCAACTGTATGACTGTACTGCTTTACAGAAATCTGAACTCTTCTAATCTTCGTCTTTTTCTGACCAGTTGGAGCTTTTGAACATCTTCCAGAGCAAACAGTGATCGTCCAGCAGCCCACCAGAGCTTCAAGAGCGGCTTGCAAATGCAAGTAATGACTGGGACATTTTATCTGGGAGGATCAAAGACTTATGAGACACACATTTCAGCAGTTTTCATCATCAAAATCTTTCTTGCACTGTGAGCCCACTTTCTGAGTTTATGTCTTCAAGATCACACACAGATAACTCCTCAATTATCCAAATTTGGAATGTGTAAGATACCCAAAGTATCTTTCACAATAATATAACAGGGTTAGATTTTAATATTGAATAAGGTGGACTATGTGTTCCCTACTATTTCTTCAAATTTACCATTTTTATTTTGGTCAGTACATTTTCGACCGGGTTTTTAATCCAGTTAAGATTTATTTTAATATTCTGTCTTAACCAGACACCCATCAGAATGTGATGAGCCCACGTCTGAAAGAGGGTAGCAAATATCTTGCTTTCGTTGTTTTCAGTGATATGCTCCTGTCAGACTTACTTCATTAAAAATAAAATCAAGTGAGTCATGCTGAGGCAATGTCCTAGAGCTGAAAAAAAAAGCAAAATGAGAAAAACCGATCGCTTATTTACGCTTGGCTGTTTTAAACCTGACCATCTGATGTTTCTCATAAATGCCTTGTTATGGTTGTCCCTCGTAACAAACAGCCGCAACTGTCACTGCATCTTTATAATCACATCCAGGCTCACGTGGTCACGACGGTCCAGACGGACACTCTCGCACGACCAGTACCATATGTTTGGTTAATGGGTTTTAAGGACAGTAAGGGGCTGGAAATAAGTGCTCTTTTTTTCAAAAAAATCACAAAGGCTGTGTTGCTTTCAGAGGTTTCCCGAGGAAGACCGTTTCATGTTTTTGCATGACAAAAAGATGTCTTTGTGTTTGTAGTTTTAAGATGTTAAGATGTGGTCTGACAGCTGAAATTGTTTCCTGGGTGTTTCTCCTACGGAATCAAAGTTTTGTTTCAGCTGTCAATAATTGTCAAAGGTGTACAACTTTTCTCAAATCAGTCTTTAAACATACAGAAGCATGACGTTTCACCATCATTGACCATGTTCCTTTAATGGTTGCACTGGTCAATTACTTATGGATTAATTTGCAAATGTTCAAAACTGAGACGAACCTCAAAAGATACGGTGAAATTTTAAAGCACATTTTTTAAGGATTCCTCTTTAACAGCTTCCTTTGCTTTTTGCCTATCCTCCAAAAAGAAAGATGAAAATGAGCCCAATAGGTTTTATTCGGCTTTATGGATGCCCCTGCTGCTCAGAACGTCTCTGGTGAAAAGAGACCAATTTTGTGTATGATTAAAGGCAAGCTCGAAAAAGAAGCAGCAAAAGGAAACCAAAACCTGCAGTGACTCTTTAGATCATATAAACTGAAACTGAAGTGATGAGGTTATTTATTACTCAGATTGGATCCGTTGCTTACATTTTGGGATCATGCATCCCAGGTGTACATCCGTTTTTGCTTTTAGCTTATTTTACCACCCTGATTGGGTTTTATGAAATGAGTATTGAAGCAATATCTGGTCTTTTTAACTCAAAACTTTATCAAAGCAATCCTATCTTCTCTGTAGAGTAATTCGTCTGAACATGTTTATGTCGAATTAAGAAAATGGAGGTTAATTTCACACTTCGCTGATATGTCGGTCGATTGGGGAAATCAACTTTTCTATTAAACTCAGTCTCAGGAAACATGAAAACAACTTTTAAATTATTCACTATACAATAAAATTTTCTGAAGACAATGGGATTGCTTCAAACTCTACTCAAAATGAAACAGTTTCTACCATATTTGCATATTAAAATGTTCACACAGTAGTTTACTTTTGGTTATGAGAGGTAAGCTGCAAATATGGGTTCATATATCAAGATTTAACAGATGTGAGACTGAAAATGTTATTATGATACCTACTGCACTTTAGTTATACAAAAGTATAGATAATATAAAGTTCTAAGAAACAGAAGATGAAGAAGAAAATTATATGATTAAGTGGCTTTAGATAATTAAATATTAGTTTAAGTTCTTACTGTAATGCTGTCTGTAAAGGTCCATAAATTATGAAACCATGTGGGTTAGCAGATCAACATAAATTATTTATTTATCCTAGTGAATTTCAACACAAAACCAAACATTGTGTTCCTTTTTCTAATTTGCTTCTATAAACTGACCTTCTGCTGCATTGTGTGTGCTACTGTTACACAGTGTGTGTGAAGGAGTGTGCTTGTTTGTGTGCCCACATCTGTCTACTTGTCTTTTCTTGAGTCACTGGAGTAGAAGGGAAAAGGTCTGGGATGGTGGGTTGCTT